AAGGAAGATCCACTTAGATGTCATCTGCTTACAGTATCAGCACAGCATTACAAAATATTAAGGAGACACTTCTCAGTTACCAGCAGTAGCTACACAGCTCTACTTAAAAACACTAAAATCTGCTACTTCTAAACTTCCAAAAAGTAAACATATAACACCAGGACAAATGCAGCAGGTTTCCAAATATTTTACCTTAAAAACAAACAAAAAAATAATTACTCTTTGTCATTTTTACAGTTTCTATCAAATTTTGTAACAATTAAAAAACCTTCATATTTTCAAAGTACACAAATTCTAGAAGCATCCTCAGCCTTTATTTTTAAGAGTTCAGACAAAAATGTTTTGTAGATGTCCTAAGTAAATTAAGCCTTTCTCCTTAAGCCTATTAAGAGAGTCTTCATTCACAGAAGACACCTGAAGTATCTTTCTCTGAATAAAATCTTGCTGAAATTAAAAATCACACTTGGTTAATAAACTGTTATATTAAAATCAAATTTTGACATAGTATTACGGAAACTGCAGCCTTACTAGGCAAGGCAACACATAGCCCTGCCTCAGATTAGTCAGTCTAAATACCTGATCTTCAAGATATTTACTCCCACTGATGTACTTTCAGCCTACTCAGTTAAGATGTGAATAAAAACAATTGGGCACCACAACAGGTAGAGACAAACAGCTGTTTTCTGGAGTTCTCTCTTAGTCACTCAGCATCTCCATTTGGACCTTTCCTAGACACACCAAAAAGGACTACATTCTATTTAAAGCACTACCAGGAAAGTATTAACACTCAGATTCCCTGACAAAGATAATACAGACAGAATGTCACAGTTACACTTCAGGTTTATGGAATCTAAGCTTTTTCCCTACCAAATGACTTGCCATTGAAAAACCTCCCATAGCACAACAGCACCAGATATATTCCATATTTCAGGGCTGAAAGCTATCTCTGGACAGTGCAGAGCAGGAGAGCACTGCAGTTATCTTTAATTACTAATACGCAGAGAAAGAGCAGGAGGAGAAAAGCAGAAGAGATGACTGTCTAATATAAAATACTAACAAAACAGGATGCAGATTCAGGCTTTGCTAGTGAGACCCAGAAACAGCCCCTTCAAGATCTAAAAAGTCTCAAGCCAGCATAAATCTCATATCATAGTTCACCTACATCTGGAAAACGCTCTTGGGTAAAAGGATACTTTGCTGAATTTGGTTCAACTTGTCCTGCAAGATCTAAACAGCATGAGTGTCACAACAACAACAACAAACTAGATAAATTGAACACTAATTATAATCACTGAGATTTGACAAGATTGCTGGGTGACACTTACTCTTTTTCTCCGATTATGACCTACACGTGAATAACAGAGCTCGGGTCTGATGAGCCCGTACAGTCTGTGTACACAGTATGTTATTTTTACAGTGTTTCAACTGGATCCCCACTTTAAATATTCAGAAACAACTGGATCAGTGATGGAGTGATCTGATCATCACTTCTCATCAATTCAGTAACTTGATTCTGTAGTATTTCAAGGGTGTTGTAGATGCTTATCTATTAATCAGCTCCCAGCCAATAAGCTTCCAACCACCACTCTGGAAAATCCGATTGCTCTTGCAGGACTCACTACAGTATTTTTTTCATTACCAAATCATTTCTGAAGAGGCATGCTAGTATAAAATGACCAAAACAATATATGGCAAAAGAACACACTGCTTGTCTAAAGATGTCAAAAGGAAACAGAGCAAAGTCCGAACAAAACTTATCAGTCACAGATGCACTTCAACCAGCCAGCCCGCACTGTGCCTTAGTGAGGCTATCAGATGATATGAGTGGGGAAAAAAAACCCCACCACCCAAAGACAAAAAAACAAAACAAAAACCAACAACTTTTTCCTTTTTTGGGGGGAAGTTTTCAGCTAGATCCACCCCTTTGTGCAATTCAACACAAGGTTACACAAATATACTGCCACAGTACAAAGGTTAACCCATCAGATGTCAAAAATGCCAGCTGCTTCAGAATTACTACCACTGAAAATACTGGTCCACATTTTTCATGCTATTGCATTACTGATTCATTTTACTGATTCTTTACTTGGAAATATTATGGGTGGTTGTTACCATAAGGTTTTTTGTCAGTTATCTTAAATGCCTTAGATTTTTTAATATTTACAGATTGAACATCAAAGATGTAACATGCTTATCTGCATGCAAAATGGCCCAAATTCAGAACAGAACAGATTTCTTAAGAGGTTGTCACTAGGTCCTTAGCACTTTGAGAATCAGATCAGCTAGATCCTAATGCTCCCTAAATTTCATTCTCTACATGCTCCTCTGTAAGCCCTTCCACTGCTTAACACCACTTCCATCAGAGCACTATTACCATCAAAGTGTTTAGTTAATTGGACAGTAGTTCCATACAGACAAAAAGATGAAAAAAAAACCAGGCTGCAAAATCAAGCAGAGAGAAAAAAAGAAACTGCATGGAGGTAAGAAAATGTAACACATGAAACATTAAGAGGCTTCCCACTTTTTGAAGATGACAGACAAGCTAGAAAAATAGTGAATTCAAAGGAAGAATTTTGTCTACATTTTTTTTTTTAAATCCAGCAGCCCTTTCTCTGCAAGTATGTTCAGCATCCAGTTAGTGACAAAAGACTGGGGGAAAAAGCAAAAAGCCATCAGAACGACAAACATGACTGCTCTTAGTCTCCAAATACAGAATTTAAGCGCGAGTCTCACATGACAGCACAGCAGAACAGATAACAAACAACGTTCTTACTGGCGTCCAGGACCATGCTAGGGCTACAACAAAAAACATTTCCAGTTGTTACAGAAAACTCAAAACAAATGACAGCAACAAGAATACTTGTGTGTCTCAAAATGCATCCACAATCGCTTGGCTGCCAAGATGTTGTAATCAGGAGCCTATGTTCTGGAGGAGCACTACCTGAAACCACAGTTTTGAGACTCCAGCCTTAAGCTTAAGGTCCCACCAAGGAAGGCAAACACTTCTTTAGCACCCTATCATAAAATAATTGTTTGGGTTAAATCGTAAGTGGAAGTTAATGGTTGCCAATAAAGAGACAAGAAGCTGCGGGAGGGGCTGCAAAAATGTGCGAAGTCATTGGCATCACAGAAACACACAGATGCATACACACAACTCTTGCCCGAATATATCTTGGGAAAAAATAGTTTGCTGGTCTTAGTCCTCACGAAGGTTATCTGTGAGAATTTTTCTTCTCCAAAGCAGTTACTACAGCTATTATTTTAATCTTACTTAGTGAAATCCAAAACCAAAGTAATCCTTGGTAGTTAGGCCAAAATATGACTGACATCATTCCAGGTACTTTGGATTAGGCAGTAGCATTATGAAACCAGGATAAAAGCTTACATTCATTTCTTTACAGCTTGACATTTGATATTGACCCTGTATTTTCCCAAGTTGTCTTCTAAACTTCATTGTCATAAGATAAAGCTACCATGCAGGCCTCCTGAACTGGAGAGTTATCACAAGTTAAACACAATTGGGGCAAATGTCTAAGTTTTATATTCCCCTCCAGAGAAAAAACTTTGTTTGCATCACTGAGATTTTTCAAGTTTCTGTCTCTTGCTACATTATTAACAAAATCTGTGTGAGAACTGGTGCCAGTGAAAGAAATAGGAAAATTTGTACAAAACCAAGCTCAAATGCTAGTAAAATTGTTTAGAAGCACAGAAAGATGTGTATTTCCCTTCTGCTGTTACCACCTCAGCTCACATGGTTTTAAAATAAGCTTCTGTATGAAAGTATGAAGAATTAGCCTGTCCAAACACAAAGCCTGGGAAACATCACTTCAGCTTCTGCTTTTCCAAATAAGCAGGTTCACGTCATTTGTTATTACTCTGTTATTCTAAACAGCGTGCGTTAAGTGTTTTTGTCTAGAGGCAAAGCATTACTCTAACATCTAGTTCTGCAGCTGCTCAGTATAACTAGTTGATTCTTATCTATTTGATTACCAACTTGTGTTCACATATGCAAGATCTACTGCTGAAAACCAAGGCACTTTGGAAAGCAACTTTTTAACTCCCAGAAGGAAATCCACCCCTCTTATCTCCCTCACTCCACACCGCCTCATAAATTGGGGTATCTAAAAACTCACCAGTATTTTTGTAAGCACTACATGCAATTTTACATCCCAAAGTTACCTACCTGTCCACTATACTCTGTTGTCAATTTATTTTGAAAAGGCACACGAGATACAAGCAGAACAAGAAAACACACATTTGTTTTAAAGTTGTCCATATAGAAGTCACAAGCTTCCAGTCATAAACAACACGGGGGAAAACACTCTCAAAGACTGGTAACAAATCCTTCCCTGCAATTATTACTATACTATATGTTGCAACCAATTACACACACCACCACCAACTACTGCCTAAGGAGATAAGATATGAAGTTGACTACTTTTAGAGAGAAAAGCCTGAAAAGGCTTTATACAGTAAAAACTGGATGTTTAATTAATTGTCTTTTGCTGAACCTGAAGAGCTATCAAGAACTTACCGAACATAGCTCTAAGTATGTCAAACCTTCTACCGCCATTGTAGTTATTCAATGCAACCTTCTCATAGTGGATTTATGACAGTGTACAGCAATGACACCTACAAAGAGTACATTCCATCTAAATTTCAGTCAAAGTGAGGGAGAGGGATTAAACTACACCGAACTGCTATTCAAGCCCTACTTGAACGTAGTGATATGCAAATACTAATTAACAACAGTTTCAATGGTACTACATATGAACTACACAATTATTTTGCTGATATTAAGCTATTTCTGCAGTAGCGCATTGGAGCTGCATCCAGTATATGCCAACTAAAAAAAATTATTCTGGCATTTTTGATTCTAAATTTACATTCCACAACCCCTTCAATTCCAACTCTGTTTTGAGGGATTTAAACAGAAAACAGTGGTTTTCAACTCAGAAAATGCAATTTCTGGGAAGGAAGCAAATGGACAAAAAGATGTCATCTTCACATCTCAGGAAAGACAGCTGCAGAGGAGAGTTCCTTCTTCTGGGAACTAATAAAACTCAGTAACAACATGCCCACTACGCTGCCCAGTCACTTCAATCAAAGCTTACCTTTATGATACTCAACACAAGATGTTTTTAAAGGTCTCCTCATCCAGGGTGTCAGGATGCTGTGCACTGTGGAGGGTTGTGGGAGATGAAAACAAACTAAGCACTGGAAAATTTTACGGCTTTTGAATGAAGTACACATAGTAATATTGTATACAAGTGTTGTTTTCCAACCCAGTTTTGTTCTGTATAAGGTGGGTAAGATCACACAAAACAAAGTGAGGAAAGCTACCATTTCCTGCCAGTACAGAGGAAGTTTAGCAATTGCTCACACAAAGTGCAAGAAGGCATTCAAAAATTTGAACAATACTCTTTTATTTAGCATAGGAGTCCCCCAAGAACAATCTTTTTATTTCTTTACATGAATAAAGAATTTCTGGCATAGCACCTGGCTTGACACCATTCAGTATCTTAAACCATTATTTGGAAGCAAACACCACCATGATACTTGTCGTCTTTAGCAAAGAGCCCACAGCTTGCATTAGGCTTCAGGTACTCATTCCACTTTTTTCCTGCTTCCTTATCATCTAGATTCCCATGATAGTTAAGCACTAACTCAGGTTTCACTTTATAGCTAAGCTTTGTATAACCTTGCAATATGCAGATGGTACCAATTCCAGGATAATTTTATGACTGCAGTAGCCACGAGTGAGAAGGAAATGTTTGCCCTTCAACGAAGCTACCCGATCACAGTACCTGAAATGGTATCAAGTGATACACCCACGGGTACTAGGTGGAAACGCATACCAGAGGGAGAACAGAATGAATAAACCTGTTGATGCCTGGCCCTCAGCACACATTACTACAGTCTGGGTCACACAGTAGATGTCCCTGACACCATAGCTGTTAAAAACAAGCAAGAAAAAAATCTGGTCTTTAACATTTAACAGTGTATCAAACACCTCATCCATCTATCAAACAGGTGAGTTATACCAATAAGAACACAGAAATACGTACTAAGCTTCCTTCCTTTAAACTGCTCTAAACCTCCACCTATCAGCAACACACATTTTCCAGCATTAAGTTGCCTGGTCAGCTTGTGTTATGTTGGGGAAACAAGGCATTTCAAGAACACACTAATAGAGAGGGGACAAAACAAAAAGTCAAAACAGTAAGAGGGATTAGAATGAAGTTAAGTAATAAAATGGAGAGTTAGAACAACTTCATAATTACAAGTATCCTGAACACCTCAGCTAGAAGAAACTTAAGCACATCTTGGGCAACTGTTCAATCGAATGCAGTGTGTCTGTTCCTTCCCAAGCAAAACCAGGAGGTCAGAACACAGTTACTGCATATCTTGGAAACAATACACTGAGGCAAAGAAAACACCCACTGAAAGGTTGGCAGGGAGGAAAGAACAGGAGGAGTGAATAAAATAGGCTATTAGACTGACCACTCCTACATAGCTTATGGGTCAGCAGAGTTACTTCCACCAAAGCAACCAGCCCACTACTGCTGTCGACTGAGGGAAGATACATGTGCAGCACAGAAAAGGCAAAGTGTAGTCTTATGAACTCCACCATCACTGTATTTACCAAACACTTATAACAGACAAAAAACCCCTGCTTTTTAGATAATGACTTGATCTCATCAACTGCGAAAAGAAACTCATTCGAGTTTGACCTAACACAGAAACCAAACAGAAAAAACAAGACCATTTTTAATCAAGGCTAACTACCTCCTGAGCTTGTCTGCAAAACTGGGATTTGTTTTATGTTTTCATTGCATATAGCCTTCAGCATTCTCAAAAGTCACTCAAAAAAAGAAAAAACCCAAAACAACCAAAAAACAGGCATAAAGTGGAGTTTGAATTTCCAAAGAAAGTCACCAGAGGACAAGTCTGCTCCAGCACTCTATTATTAGCAAAAGAAGCTGACACCTCTGAAGGAAAGCATTCTGGGGGGAGAAGAGGAGAGGGGTGTTGCTGCTGCTACAGTTAAAGTATCGCTGTCGTATGACATTAGAGTACTAGACCTAAGATTCACAGTGTTTCTATCTCCCACCTCCTTCCACACACATGCTGTGTTTTCCCATCTGCATCTACAGAACCAAAGGCACTAATATGGTAAGAAAAGTTTTAACTGTTGCCTTTCTGTTCTTTCTCCTCTCTTCATTCAGCCCTGCTACCCAGTGCCACCCTCCCTTTCACTTTATGGAAGATACTACTACACTGCACTGCATTCAGAGCATCCTTTCAATGCAGAAACCTGGTAAAGCCAAGGAAAAAGTAAATTTAACTACACTAGCGCAATATGGAATCGAAATCCTAACATGGAATTAAAATTCTATATAGGTGTTGACTCAAGCTGTTGACTTTTTTGGGGTCAAGAAAAGCTTTGCAGCTAATCCACAGAACTGGAAGTGCTTCCAACTTTTAATTCTTCATTTATAGTAAAAGCCTTGCACATTGTACTCAAGTAGAGTTAGTCCAATTAGTTATGACATCTACAGTCACAGTTGTACCAGTTTAGCCAAAGAACCAAATACAAACAAATATAAAACTGTCTTGCTTTTTTTTCCAGTGACCATAGATGTGTATTTAAATACCAGTTAACCAAGGTTAACGCAAGGAAACATAGTTTCATACAGGTGCCACAAAGGGTTGCGAATTCCAACTCAAAGTGGTGATTGCCTCCTGTTCCTAAAAACCTAATTGCTGTTTACAGCAAGGCAGACATCTTTTCTTTTCTTTTCCACTGATGACACGCCGATTGCATACTTGGCTTTTCAACTGTTTTTTATAGCTGCTTGCTTCAGTAAATTTAGGCAGAAGCTCCTCTGCTTGCTTACAATAAAAACAATAAATAAATAAGGCAATTACAAGTAGGAAAGAAGGAACAAAGCAATATATTATGCTTAGTCATCAATCTGTTTTCTTGTCCTTTTTCTAAGTAGGCAAAGGGTGCGCAGGTGTGGGGTTTTTGCTACACAATGTTTAGATATCCATATCCCCAAAAGAACACAATGCTGGCGAAACCAGGTCAAAGAAGTGTCCTACAAACTTGCAAAAAAGCAGAAGAGTTTTTAATTGCCCTTAATCCCCATTAAAATTCACGCTGGAATCTCGGTCCAACTCATTCACATCTAGGTTTTGCTTCCTCCAGAAAATTCTACAGAACCAGGTGCAAACTCCTCCCTATATTACATCACCATAGCCTTGGTGAATTTTTGGATACATTCAGAGCATGAAATCCATCAGAAATAAGAATTAGCATAGATCTAGAATTTAAATAGAAGAATCTCCTCAAGGATACAAAAATGTTTAAGTTAAAGTCTTACCAAAACTATGTCTTTCCCATTAGTCAAAATAAAATTCAATAAATACAAGTTGCATCTTACCTTTTCTGATAATTTCTTACTGTGAAAGAACCAAGACACCATAACTTGGCCATATTTTAAATCAGAGCAATATTCAGAGAAGGCCATTGTTAATAACCTATTGTATTTATACTCACAAGGAACAGCAACTAGTTTTTCAGTATTTTTCCCCTACCTGATGACTCTTTAATACAGGAATCAGCAGTCTGTTCTATATTTCCTTGAAATCAAGACATTCATAGATGTTAATTCACTAGTCCACAGACATTAAGGAAAAACACAAACACAACTGAACAAAAAAACAACACAACTGAAGAAAATCCACTTTATGGTCACAGATCGGGAATTTCTCAGAAACAACCTGGAAGTTTGGGGGGCAATACTTTACTTACACTAATTTCAATAGGACAAAACAGATTCAGCCAACTCCACACAGAAAAACAACAGAAGAAGAAACAGGACATGCAGGTTTTTGAACTTGTACAAAATGACATCATCAGAAAAAGTGCCTTAATATTCTCTCAGCAAGACAGCAATTAATGATCAGCATCTCTCCCTTTCTGCCAGACAAGACCAACTAGGAAAGCTGCATCTATCTAGTAATTCTGACCATAAGCTTTTCGCTCTTTCAGCAAAAACCCCCGTGTCTGAACAGACAATGTTGTTAATGGTCCTCTCTCAAAATAAGTTTATTACAATAGAATTTTCCACTAAGAATAATCTGTCATTATTCTGAAAAACAAACCAACCAACCAACTACAGGAAAACTATTTCATATTGCAAAAGCACTATTAGGAAGAATTATCTAGCCTGATTTGACACAAAGCACCCCTCATAAGTAGAATTATTTTATTCCAAAAACCAAAACCAAATCTATCTCCCCTATATGCAGAGTGTCTTTCTGCACACACTTTGCATCCATCACAATGCAGCTGCCAGCATAAGCAGCTACAGATATAGCGAAATCAAAGACTACTGTTAAATCGCAAGATGCTCCTCTCTCCTAGCAACCTCTGCTCTCTACAGTCCCCTACAAAGCCAGAGCAAGGGTCAGGAGGGATGTCTGCAAAAGCAGCACTGTGGTATCCTCCATCTTTTACCCATATGTCTCGGTGGGGGGAGCGGAATATCACAGAGATGAGCC